TTAACGAGAAATGTGCTTTGGAATTGTAATAAATATTTTGTTTTTGTTAGGAACTGTTGAATTATGAGAAGTGTGCTAAACTGTCTTTACTTTTTTATATTATACACATATATAATAGAATTGTATTAATATAGAAATATCATAACTTCTCAGATCCTTTAATAAATTGTTAATTTAAAAACAATGGTGTTAAAAAAATGTTTTATTCAACTAAATTTAATTGAAGAAAATTAATATATTAAAATTGGTTGAAATATACAGTTTATTATTTTCTACGTATATATTTACATTAATATGGACATATAAAATTCATCTTGAAACTAACCACAGAATTAGATTGATTTACATTTTGACACACGTTTTGACTAAATAACAAAATGTTACTTAACTCAAGAGGTTGGATTACCATTGGTTTCTTTGATATCTGACAGTGTACAAGGAAAAGGTAAGGTAATTGAGCCGTTATTATAACGTTGTCGGATGCTATTACGCCTTCCACCTGACTCGCAACCTTTTTTACATTAAAACTGTACTTCCTAAACCAGTATGACGTCGTCATCTCGGTAGATTAGTGCTACAAAACGCGACGTACCGTGGTGTACAGCGGCGCACTGACGACGCTGCTTGATAAAAGAAAAAGAAACGCGACCAGTCCCGATATCACGTAGCGGGGATACTCGCGCGAACGGGCAAAAGAAATTCAAGATAGCTCGCGTGTGTTCGGTAAAGACACCGTTCGGCGACCGCAGGCATTATATCGCGCACGTTGCATCTTCACCGGGCATAATGCGAGCTTAGGAACGTCGTTATGTCTCGCACGCTCAACGATATAAATTACACCGTCGGCGCGTGCGATTGGGCCAATAGAGCAAGAAACACCGGCGGGCAGAGAGCTGAACGTTATGCACAATCGGGCCGATGGCACGCGTAAGATAACACGTGCGCCGCGTTCCGCAACGTGCGGAACGCGGGGCGCAATCGGATGTGCATCTGACGCAGGTGCCGGTGGATTATAGAGGGGTACGGTGGTTGCGTTACACTTCCTGTTACATCGACCTTCCATTCGACGATGCACCCTCCAATGCCTAGTGATCGGCCACGTGTATTATTAATCCTCTGTAACGCTACGTGACTTGAAAGATGTTTGCGGATTTGTATATATAATTCAGTTTTGATATCGGAGCGCTCATTAAATATTTTTTTTTAGAATAATATTATTTATAATTATAATTCGAGATTTAAATCGCCGCGCGAGAGTAAATCAAATAAATTAATTAATCCTGTTTTCAAACAAAGTAGATCTTAGTGTTTGAATATTTCAGTGTAATTTCTATACAATTCACAATTTATGAACAAAATAAAAATAGTAAAATTAAAACAATTTTTACATGTTAATATACAATATGTAATTATTGACAAGCAGTTTAATACTAATGCTAAGTGTTTAACGTCTTGGAAGGATATTTTAATAATTTGATGATAAAGTAAGCATCTTAGAAACTGTAAATAATTTATTGCGACTAATATTACCATAGCTCCAATGGCCGAATTAAGGAAACATCCACATATGGAATTTGAGAAATCTGGTTTCAAATTCCAGCTGAGGCAATATTTTTCGCATTAAATTATTTATAGTTTTTAGAAATGCTTATTAGAGCATAAAATTATTAAAATGTTTAAAATTTTTATTATCGTCGTACTATTAAATATCTTACCAATTTAATATGCGATATTACTAGTTTAGTCTGTTTATTTGCGTTTCAGAATTGAAAAAATTTTAGTGCGCAATTTGCAAAATAGGATATGTATATAAATTCACACTGTAAGGTACTTAAACACTAAGGAACGCTTTGACAGAAAATAGGATTATTTCTCCTAATTAATATTATCTATAATTTCTTATAAAATTAGAGTATAAATGACTATAATCAAGTTAATATTTAACGAGGTAATAATTTGATAATGAAATCATGAAATATCGCATGAAATGAGGTAATAATTTCATAATAAGTACATAATTAAGACGTTAGTCAAGTTGATATATGTCTTATTTTGTTGTTAGATTTAGCATGAACATTTCGACGTACTATACGGTATCATCAATAAATTCGGCAGTCAACAAAATAAGATATTAGCATCTCATTATAAAATGATGATAGCAGAATTCGTGTTTACATTAGATTCGGAAATCGTCCATACGATTTCCGAAGTGATATCGCCATTGACGTATCGCGTATAATTAAGAAGCGCATTGACATTTATGATCATTCGTAAAAGAAATTTATAACCGTGTAGTTCGTTGGTCAGCAACCGGCTTTATCTGCAGCGACCACGAAATCCGTCGAATTCTCCTTTTCAAGTATTTCTTTAACCCTTTCGTTCAACGATCTTAAGAAAATCATGAGAGAAAAAAAGAGAAAGAGAGGAAAGGACTCGTCGTTCGTTTGCATCACTACGAATCAAGATTCTAAGAAACGCTAATCTTAACATTGCTTTCCTTCTAGTAACTGAATTTCGAGACAAGATATTCTGCTTTTTTATGGAGGCCATTTGATTACCTCGTGAATTCATTTACTTTAACAGGCGCACTTTTATCGCATTTTCTTAAGGAATTTTTTTTTGTCTTATTTTCTTTTATCATCCGCTTAACTGATGTTTACACGTACATCGTGGCTTATTTATCAGTTTGAAAAGAAAAGATTTTTCTGATGTGTAGCGATACTTTCTCTCAACTTACCTTCACCATCTTTTTCGACGGCTGAAAGGCTCTCGAGCGCACATTGAAGTAATTACAAGAGGACCGCATAGGGGAGGAAGTTTAATCAAAATGCAGTCCTGTTGCGAGGTACAACATGAAGAGATGCGTCTCAAAGTGGTCTCACCGTAAATAATTATTAACACGATTTCACGAGGAATTTGCACTGTAATTACCGCGCGCTTGTCAGCATTTACATAGCCTACGCGTGAAAATTGCGCGCTAAGATTCAATAATCAGGCCCCGAATGCACAACTCGTCAACCGATTAATATAATCGCGATAGCGCAATTTCCAACACCTGCCGTAGAGATCGCTTTAGCGAGAAGGTTATTACGAAAGGATGATTACACGTACGAGAGTAACTAGTCATTTGCATCGCTTATTTTTCTTAGAGATATACGATCGATGTGTACAATTATGAAGCGAAAAATTTAGCCTCCCTATCCGTTTGGAGGCTTATTGAATTCTGATATACTGACGTTGCGTAAAATCCGATGAAGCAATAAAACTTTATAGGGTTATGTATACATATCTACGTTGTCACACCTGTTTAGCATGATTTGCGTAGAAGATTTACGCTTAAGGGCATGGACTTTGCCTCGTGACAAACGGCGAAATTAAGCGGACGCCAAATATCTCATTAATTTTAAGCGAGAGCTCGGATGGGTATGTCAATAAATGCGTTAATATCGTTTGATTAATCGCGCCATCTCGCCGCTTCCTCTTTTCGGTCAGATAAAGATATGCTCATCCGTCTTTCTCTCGCCATGATCCCTGCGGCAGGACTTCCGAAATTACGGTTGCGCCTGTCGTCGAAGACTGATGAAAATGTTCGGAGAGCCAAGTGTGATCATCGAATGGAGATTTATTACTTCAGAAGCGAGATTATAATCAATCCTAATTCATCTATTCAGTGATGATTCATTCCTACGATTAATACAATTTGACAGAAATTAAAAGAATCTTGATAGTCATCGTGTTTGAGTGTCCAGATGAACCGATATAAAATTCCAATTAATGACACGATAGAACAGCTATTAGAAATGGAAGAGAACGATTCGTGCTTCGTAAATTTCTCGCAAATCATGTCGATACTGGTATCAATTATGAAATGTAAAAATCGTGAGAGAAATATTGAAGGTTCTCGATCGAGTCGGTGGATGAGAATCCGGGGTTAGGGTTAATTGTGATTTTATTTAACGTGCTCATAACAGTCGCCAACCGGTCGTATACCAGTAAATTTAGGATGATTACTTTAATGACTGAATTAGCATCCGTATATCCTTTCAATCTTCAACGTGCACTTGTACGTTTCGTGCTTGCACGTAGCTCAAGATACGTGAGCGATCCTTCAAAGCAAACATACAGGAAGTCTGGTACGTTCGTGATGTAAAAATACCAGGTGTGACATTCCCGTGTACGCGTAGTCGGATAACCAGTAAAAAATTTACCTTAAATTTTATAAGACCGACATAAAGTCGTTATGAGAAATTTACTATGGAAAGGTTGATTTTTTAAAGTTTAAAAATTTAGATAGATATAAACTTGAAAATAATTTTGTTGGATCGTCAAAATAATTATGCAAAACGCTTAACATTGGCAGCAATACTGCAAACAGTTTTAATATTCTAGTAATCAGCTGGAATGTTCTACGTAACATATACATTTCCATAATTCATCAAAATATATTTTTAGATTTTTAGCTAAATTTTGAGATACAATATTTTAGCAAAACCGTTCTTTTCGTATCTTAATAAAAAATTAGGTCCAAATTATGTTTACTATTATACGCAATGTTGCACTTAATACTCTTTTATACGTGTGTTTACTGCATATGTAGAGAGAATTAATTTATTATTGTAATAAAAATGTGACTTTTTAAGAATATTATGTTAATTTTAAGCTTCTCTAAATTTATGTCTAATAAGGTACTAATAATATAGTTTCTATACTAATAATATGATTTCTGATGAATTATATGCTAATATTTCTTTGATAAATGCATACTGCATACAGATGCAGATGCAGTGTTTAGCGTAGACTGAGTGGCGGACAAGATGCTATAAGTGGCTGCCGGAAGTCTCTCGTATATAATGTCGCGGAATTAAGCAATCATTAATTCACAGAATTTTCAATGACATCGATCATGCCAAACGAATGCACTTGTTTGGTGCGGTTAACGAAACGCATAAAACCACCGTCCAGTCGATTATTTACGATCTACAACTATTTATGTATTGCAGAATGCTGTGGGGAAGATGCGTTCTCTAGCCCTCGTTCTCATGAGCTTCAACCTCCTGCAAGTCGTCGTTCGCTGTCAAGAATTATCGGTCATCCGGCACTCCGATGGAGATATTTTTACCATCGAAGGTAAATATTTTGTGATTGTTATTACGTTATATATATTAATATTTTTAAGCTTTCATTTTATTGCATTAATCTGTGAAAGAAGGCAATTCAGGACGACACACGGCCGAAAGTATCGCGTTGAAAACGTTGTATTACAAACATTTCTTCCAACTAGAATTTTCACTCGTGTGTCATTTTTCATTCGAGACCTTAATATCTATTTGTGATTTCTCGCAATATGCCATTATGATAATGCTGAACATTATGACGTGTTACATTTTGGTGATCTGATTCGAGAAGCGTGCCTCATAAAGCGCAATTCGTGCCGGTGATACGGCGCAAATCCTGCGCGTGCTGATTTTCCGGTACGCGGAAGCAAAGTAATTCGCGATTCGAGAGTGCCGAACATGTTTCAGGACGATTTTGTGCGAAATCGTGACACAACCGCTGCGTGAAATAAAAAGACGTAACGGATTAACCATGAAATTACGATGTAACGGTTTGACAGCTGTCCGACCTGTCCTTGCTCGGCTGGATTATACGGCACGTCCTGACTGTCCTTAGGATCGAAACACTCGAATTGCAACCGATGGATTGTACTTCGTAACTTGAAGAACCTCGCACTACTGATCCTGCGAAACACATTTGATACACGAACAAGTTATTGACTTTTGAAAAATTATTGGTTTATTGACCATTAACATACAATGATGTATTTTATAATACGTAACATGAACACGCAGTACCAATTAATAACAAAAAAGTGGCCAATTTAATCATTAAATAGTATAGTATTATCGATATCAGATATAAAAATATGTTGGAATATAAATTGATGTGTATTTGAATGATCTTATAAATAAATCTGGAGAAAAAATTTTATTTTACACAAAATCTCGAATTTTATTTTAAATTAACAAATTTAATGTAATTTACATGGGAAAACTTATTTTGCTAAAGTATCTAAAAAGTTAACTAGATACAGAAAATAATTTTATTGGATCATCAAAATAATTATGTAGAATGTTGAAATTAATTACCAGAGAATATCAAAATTTACTTATTGTACTTAAACTTCCTATTATACATAATTATTTCGATGGTCTACCACTCTAGACGCAAAAATATATTTTGCTGCTCCAGCTAAAATTATCGCTGTTTTTCATATTTAATAAAAAATTATGTATCACACGTATAGAATTTATAACACAAATCTAAATTCTATCTTTGTCATCTATATAATTAGATGCAAACCATATCCAATATCGCCATTACTTTCTAAAAATATATTTATTTTAGCTAATTCTTCACCTAGATAACTAATTTTAATATAACTGCAAGATCACCTTTGAGTGTAAGAAAATTATTTTTAGGTCTGTATCTCTTAAACCTGTATCTTTTATAAATACTCCAATTTTATAGATATTTCCGTAAATCCTTCTATGTGATAAGATATGTATTAAATTGAAAAATTGGTTAGAGGGTGTATAAAAGCATATGCAACTTGGTGTATTGAATTGAAAATTTGTCACAGGTTCTTGCACGGAGGCCTGCACAGTGCTTAGCAGCGGCACCGCCAGTCCTTATTCCCGGGGTTCTTCGAGTTCAAGTCTCCTTGTGCCAAACAGTTCCTGCACGTGCCAGTGTAACTTCGACTTGCCTATCTTTCGAGAGGATCTTCACATTTGCGTCAATGACATTCACGGTAACGTTCCCGCAAAATTTCTTCGTTATGAATTATGAAGTCATCTACCGCGGTGCGGTGACGTTGTAGCAAGTCACCGTACGAACGTTTACTTGCTTGACATTAATGATTTCCGACTGCGCCTTCCGTTACATCCTCTTGCCAGCTGGTCCAAATCAAGCAGCAAAAGCGTCCGCGCAGCGGACGCGGATTTATATGGCTCGTTCTCCTGTATTTAGCTAGTCGCTGTGCATCACAGCGGTATTCATCGCCGCGATCAATCTTAAATACGCTATTTAACGCCGCTTGTGTAATTGCGCATGCCTTACGGATTGTTCCCCTCATAGATTATTGTTCTTCCTGTTTTACCGTTTTACGAGAATAGATAACAGAAACGTCCAATATTATTACGTATATATTATATTTGCGAACTGTGTACCTCACACGAAACAATAATGTCCATTAACTTACCATTATCAGGGTGTAAGAGAACGCGTAATCGTGTAATGAAATTCTTTATTTATTTTTTTACACACATAATGAAGTATTATCATAAAAATACGGTCAGGATTTCGCGACGGCCAGTGGTCCAATCTCTTCTCACTGTCGAATATATATAATTATCGTGAGCCATAAAAAACCAGGGGATGTATGATTACGGTCTCTCGTCGCTGATTGTGCTCTCTTTCCCCGCGATATTAATAATAATACGGCGTTATATTATTTATTACACCGTCATTAATTTTCACGCAGCCAGACCAGTAATCGAAATATCGTCCGCGATAGGTGGTCGCTGTATGATACCGGCGTACCAGGTGTAGCCTCCCCGGAAGTGTGTCTCTCCCTCCATGTTTATCGACACCGACATACCTCTCAAGTACCGTTTTTAAGCTACCGGTCGCGATTGGTCGCCGTTGGCAGAGGTGAGGCCACGCAAAAATGGCGTGTCCTGTTCGACCAATGTAATTTCGGGGGATTTAATGTCTACGTACATGCGTGGCATCACGCGATTAAACTGCCGTTTCAGACGGAATTTGAATAATTTACCTTCCTCTGTATTTTGCCTCTCCTCCCCCCCCCC